GGGGGCTTTTCTTTTCTAGTTTTTCCGAAAGCCGACCATTTCGCGTGGTGCGAAAAATTTATAGATATCGTTTTTATTTTTAGTGAAATCGCGAGACAAATTCATGAAAAACGCGAAAAAAAATGTGTCCGACAAAAATGTTGGAGCGTTAAGGGTGTCTACCAACTCAAACATATCCAATTGACAAGTTAAAAAAATTTTTGGATAACGAGCTGATTTTTTCAGAATTACTTAATAAAAATACGAGGAATATAAATATCCAATTGTCCGACATATTACATTTTCCGATTTTCCAGTCCGATGCGGGAAAATCATCGGTTTCACGAAGCCAAAAAATTTACGAATAACAATTTCTTCTTTCGATTTATTGTATTGAAAAGAACTATAGAACATAATGACTAAGTTGTCCGACAGTAAAACATTACCGCTTATGCGTAAAAAAGAAGCATAAAGTTTTTTTGAATTTAGTCGGTGTACGGTGTACCTGACGTCGAGGTGCGCTCCAATCATCTCCTGTTGTAATGATTCTTATGGAGTAGGAAACATTACATCATTATGTTTTTGATTTAAACAACAACAAAAAATTATTTTGCGAAAAGTCTATAATTTCAAAATACAACAAAATCGAATCAGTCACAGTCAATACGAAACCAATCTCAAAAAAGCCGCTACATTCCGACCTACGCCTACTGCACTGGTGGTATTGAGGTTCTTGTTCATTCTGGTTTATTCTTGTGCTTGGAGTGTATACGTTATATACGACACTACTAGATCATATGAATAAAACAGAAGCAAATGCTTTTGCTTACGTTTTTTGAGACAAACATATTCAGCTTTATTGCAGCAAAAAGAGACAAAGGCAGAGTAAAAGTATTTGCTACACTTTATCTGAACCAGCCGTATGAATATAGTTATTTTCCTAACAAGTGCGCAAAGTGTTACTTTTCCGCACGCAAACACAGTTATACGAACGACGCGCAGCGGAGTTCGGATGAGTGTTTGCGTGCGGAAAAGAAACTTTGCGCACGTGTTAGGAACAAAATTTTTCCTACGAGCCTCATATCAGGTAGGTAACAACAAAAATTTAAAAAAAAACGATAATTTGTTCAATTATTTTCAATTAACCTGAAGCGAAACTATTCATTTATCAAAAAAGTACATAACAAAAAAACAGGAAATTGAAATCCTCGTCAGAGCTGTTCATCTTAAAGCGTTTAAATTTGATGCGAAAGAAGTTTGTAGATTCTTGCATGTAAATTGAGAACACAAATCTGACAATGTGTCAAAGCTTATTATATTCAGTGTTTGTATAGATGTTGGCTGATACCTATAGAAACAGAGGAAAAATTTGTCATCATGTGTCAAAGTCGACAGGTGCTTGACAATTATTTTTACTTTTCGGCACTCAGTGCGGATAAGGCCCGTATCCGCACTGAGTGCGGAAAAGTGTAACTTTGAGAACGATAATGCGTGCGGAAAAGTACTACTTTGCGCACGCTCGTAGGAAAAATAAATATCTATTTTCGGTGACATAATTTGTCTAATCTACACAGTATTTAAATTTTTTTAAAAATTAATTGTTTTTCGTGTAATTCATTAAAAGGTAGACCTCATTTTGAACAAAAAACAGAAGAAGTGAAAAAAAAAACACCAGAAATATTTTCTTATTGTAAATTATTTTTAAACTCAAGACAGTTTCACAGCCTCAAATATAGTGATGTGATATTACCAGATACTTCCGATGATGAACTAGATAATTGGTTATCATTCATCCTGCTAAACAATTCAATGTGAAAAAAAGGTATTTCGTGAATAAAAGGTAAATTCGATAAATTCAGAAAAACATTTTCCATGTATAAATACTTATAAAAAGCCGTTTTTGGGAAAAACAGTTAATCACGATTTTACATATTTTGGGATGTTTTTTGCTTTCATTCAGGGTGTTTGAAAAAGTCGGGTCTATTATTTTATTGTCAAAAAACGGTCAGTTTTTTGAAAAAACAGTTGAACACGTACCTATATTTTATTTTATTTTTTACATATATCAGGATTCTATAAAAAAATCATACAGGGTGTGGGGAGTGGGCCATTTTGATTTCGCCGCGTAATAAAAAGTTATACCTACTTGTGCTTTTTTTTTAACTTGCATTATCACTGCACAGAACAGTAGTGTTGCATTCTTCGTTTAATTTGCAATGAAAAGTTTTTTCTTCAAGTTCATGCGATGTTTCAACACAAGATTCAGCACGAATTGATGTGATGTCTCTTTCATCTGAGAATGAATGTGGAAGCAACGTGTGTACCACAATCGTCTAATACTTTTACTTCTATAAGGGAAACACATATGGATGTTGATGATGAGTAAGTAATATAGTGGGTATTAAATTGAAGAGGTAGTCCATCTCTAAGTGCAGTTTAAATTTAATTCAAAGGTAAGAAAAGGCACGAAGTCTTCCTCCACATTATATATTATACCCTACATATTTCGAGGATATATAGATCCTCTTCCTCAGAGACAAAAAAGCTCAAAAATGGTGAAATAAAATAAAAGTCTAGGACGCCAGACCTCGCATTTGCACTGAGAGAAAAAAAAAACTAATAGGTATACCTACAGAAATTGTATTGCATCAGTTTAAATTTTGTATACTATTTGGGACAGAAAAGCAAAAGCATTACTAGTAAAAAACGCGTTGTTCTACACTTTTTTGCATACCTATCAATATTAATTGCTTTATTGCAACTATATAAGAAACTGTATCGAGATTATACAGAAGATAGTATAGTTATTGAATCAGAGTTTATATACCCAATGTACAAGTGGCTGTATAGTCATTGTACAACTTGTTGAGTAGCTATTAAGCAAGTGGTTTTTTAGTGTTTTTAAGTTGCAGAATGCCCAATATATAAATAGTTGCATGGCTCTTAATAGAGTTGTTGTATAGCTATTATAATACTGGTTGTGTTGTCAACACTATACCAGGATTGTAGAGTTATTAAACTATGCTTTCTTTAGCGGCTGCATTATGTGTATACAAGAGGTTGTTTTAGCCGATGTACCGATATATTAAAAATCGCGTCGGTCGTCAGTTCAAAAATTTAAGTTTTGACAGAATTTAGTGAAGTAGGTATTTAATTCTGACAAAAATTACACTTCAGAACCGCCAAAACATAATTTTCAATATGTATATCTTAACAACTGGTTAACAAAATTAAAATAAAAATGGAATAATTATTGATAAGTAGAATGCTTAACTAATAACTAGATACTTATTTATTGGGTATATACTCAAGGGGGTGACTTATAGTCGTGTATGGTAGGTTTATAATTGATGTTTTTTGTCGGACAGCAAATTGGGCTTGATATATTTGTCGGACACTTATATTACATGTCGACTACTTCTCTTATATACATGATTCTTTTTTTGTCCGACAGTTATTCATTAATTTTTTGGCTTCGTGAAACCGATAATTTTCTCGCGTCGGACTGGAAAATCGGAAAATCTACTATGTCGGACACTTGGATATCTATATTCTACATATTTTTTTTAAGTAATCTTGAAAAAATCAGCTCGTTATCCAAAAATTTTTTTAACTTGTCAATTGGATATGTTTGAGTTGGTAGACACCCTTAACGCTCCAACATTTTTGTCGGACACATTTTTTTTCGCGTTTTTCATGAATTTGGCTCGCGATTTCACTAAAAATAAAAACGATATCTATAAATTTTTTGCACCACGCGAAATGGTCGGCTTTCGGAAAAACTAGAAAAGAAAAGCCCCCACTACGAAAGTTTTCATAAAGGAAAAAGGTGGTAGACTAGTCGCAATTCAGCCACACAAAACTTTCCATGACAGTATTCATAAATGCAACTTTATGTCGCTGGGCACCTACACTAACAGCTTAGATACCGAATAATTCTCTTAGCTGCTTTCCATACACATGAAGTGGGTTTATCCAAAAATTAGGGCAAATAAGCAACGCTATAATATATCAGGTTTGGTCATTAAAGATAGATACATTAAACTACATACCAATCTTCGATATGGAACATTTATATCCATTTGAAAATTGACTTCCATTGCAGTGGCAAATGACCGAGTCTCGTCCATTCTTAATTCTAATAGCCTTTTAATCATGCTTTTCTGGGTAATTTGAATATCATTGTCACTTTTCTTCAAATCCATTCCAAGAAATGTTTTCACTTCATACATTGATTTGACTTTAAATTACCGATACAAGTTGTTAATAAGTTCCTTGAATTGATCTTCTGGTCCAATTATCAGAGCATCATCAGCAAATAATATTAGGGATATGTTGTCATTCACAAATAAACAATAGTCATATTGTGATCTTCGAAAATTTAAACTTGTCATGACTTGATTAAACTTCATGTTCCAAGATTTGGGCGCATTTCTAAGTACATATAAAGCACGTCTCAATTTTAAATATTTTGCATCTGTGTTCAAGACTGGTGTTTTAATGTACACATTTTTTTCTAGGAATCCATTTAGAAATGCGGAAGGAACATCAATCTGATGCAGCTTCTAACCATTCTGTAAAGACACTGATATTAGTAGTCTTATTGTAACTAACCTACACACTTTGACATAAATGAATTCATCACTTTCATTATATGGTACTTGGAAACCTCTTGCTACCAATCTTGCTTTTTTGTGCCATCTTCTTTTATTTTAAAATTCCACTTCGTCTCTAAAGCTGTTTGACATTCGGGAAGTTCTGCTGGAATCCAAGTTTGAGAGTTTTCATGAGATTTAATTTCCTTCTCTAGGGCTTCTCTCCACTCTGCAGTTTTACAGGCTTTTGCATAATTCTTAGGCTCATCTGGAGTCGCTGTGAGCCAACAATAGGCACTGTTTATTTAATAGTCATCAAGAATTTTGGATTTGTTCACAGTTCTTCCCTGTCTTATTATAGACCTATTATTCCATGGCATATGTTCTTCGTTCTCATCACTAATTGAATTTCCATTGCATCCTCACATATTATTGGTCTTTTGCAACGGATCTCTCTTCTTGTATCTCTTCAATATAATTTTCTTCTTGTCTCTCTTCTCCCTCTTTTCTTTCCTCTTCTTCATCAGGTAAGTAGTTTGGCTGTTTTTCTTTTTCCTTTGGCCCACTTTCTATCCCTATCTTCTCGTGGTTTTTCTTGTACTCCATCAAACTCTCATCAAATCTTACGTCTCTGGATCTCACTATTTTCTGCTCATCTGGTAACTACAATCTGTAGCCACTACCACAATATCCCACCATAACAGTCTGCTTTGCCTTAGCATTTAACTTATGGGTAGAATTGGGTAGAATTGTGAACCAGGATCGACACCCAAAAATCTTGAGCTTACTTAGATCATTTCGTCCATGCCAAATTATCGAGGGTGTTACTCCCATAGGTAAAGCTCTAGTTGGAATAGGGAATTTTCATATTTTTCATTTTTTTTTTTAGATACTTCTAGCAATCAGATATTACATAGTTTGCTTTTTTTCCATTTTAATCTGTTGTAGGTTGTAGGAAAAAAAAGTTATTGAAATTCAAATTAAAAACTTTGGCGCGAAAACGCGAGGTTTCAATATGACAGCGCTCGTGACGTCAAGATTTCGTGAACAAAAAACGCAGCAAACGAATTTCTGCTGAGGCAGTGCTATTTTTGCATTATTCAAGTGTGTTAAAGTTTGCTTTTTGTGGAAACTGTCGCAATGGATGAAGAATATTGTAAAGGACTGCTTTTGTAAATTTTATTTCACTTGCAAGTTCCCTATTGACAGGTTTGTTTACAGAATCGTGACGTCAAAAAAGGTAGCCATCATGGAAGCATTATTTTGGCGGGAAATTTTTTATTCCAAATTTAGTATCATTTTTTGTGTAACAAGAGCGGTATCAGTTAAATAAAAAGTGATCATATAAACATTATGCAGTATAAGCTATCGATTTTAAACAAATTTGGAAGATTTTAGTTCACTTGCAAGTTCCCTATTCTATTTAGTTCATACACAGAACATTTTAGAGCCTCATCCCATAGTGTTTTTTGAATCCCTGAATAATCTTGGTTTTTATTTTATCCCATATATACTTCTAATCATTCGTTCTACTTTTCCATTATCTTGGGGGGTATATGGCATGGTATACTCCAAAGTCATACCATTCTTCTTACAAAAATTCCTAAAACTACTCGATACAAATTCTCCTCCGTTATCTAGTCTAAATCCTATGACCTCAATCTGGTGCTGGGTTTCAAGGTATTTTACATATTGAATAAGATTCATGCTAGCTTCATCTTTAGTTTTTAATATTTTTATCACTTAAAAATTTGAAAAATCATCTAATATAGTTTGGAAGTACTTACCACCATCTATAGTGGCTGGATTGATTGTTCCACAGACATCATTATGTACCTGATCTCCCATAGCAATCGAGGTCCTCTTATTTTCATCAAATGTACACCTTGTTGCCTTTCCTTCCATACAACTGCTGCATATCTTATCAGATTTTGATAAAGCTAGCTGCATGAGTTCGTCATGACCTGCATGACCCAATCTTCTATGCCATAAGTCCTTATCCACTGGAATATGGCACTCGTAAGCAAAAGGTTCAATTAATCTGTCCACATATAGAGTCCCTTTCAGACTTCACACTGTAACCTAAAATTTCTTCCATTGGTCGTGCTATTTCTTTTCACAATAATCTTATGTCCTTTTGAGGTCAGTTTTGAGGCGGATAGTAAATTGTGTTTTTCAATTTTTGGCACAATTCACCAATTGAGAATATGGTACCTTGACATTGTGCTTTCAGTGTTCCAATCTTATTGGATTTAAGAATTTCTCCATTTGCTATATGTATTGATACGTAGATACAACATTTTGGCTTCTAGGCTTTCCTGCACAAAGTGATTACTTGCACCTTAGTCCAATACAAAACTCAATTTGCCGTCAATTTCACTGCAATAGTTTGCAGCATATATATAGCATCACTTCTTCTTCAGCTGTGTTTGCCTGATGCTTTTTCTCATCATTCTCCTTCTGTTTTTCATGGGGGCGACCTCTGTAATTACCTCTAAATCCTCTATAATTCCCTCTAAAACCTCTGTAATTTCCTCTGCCTCTTATATTTCCCCTTAATTGTGGACACTGCTCGAAAATGTTGTGGGTTGCCACATACAAAACATGTTCTGGTATTTACTAATTGGGTATTTACATTTAGGCCTAATTCACTATCTTCATAGCTCTTTCTGTTCTTTGATTTCATTTTTATTTCCTCGTCCAGCTGCCTAGCCTTTACGAAATCAAACTCAACATTTGCGACAGTCTCCAGAGCTGTCACTACTGTCTGTGTCATACTGGACTGACAGGCCAGGTATTCTTTCGATCTGAACAAACTGATTGTAATCACATAAGGTTTGTTTATGAGGCGTCAAAAAATAGTTAGGGACAATGAAATCATTGAAAAACCGGATGACGATTGTTTGAAACAAACCTCAAGTGATTTCGATCAGTTTGTTCAGTTCGGAAAAAAACCTCTAGGGACAATAATAAATGACACACTTTATCATTCTCACTCCGGTCAGATCCATATGTTCTTTCCCACATAACAAAATTGCATCCTTAGAATGTACTGAAAATGTTCTTTTTTCAGGAGGAATGTGCCTAGAATGTTCGCCAAAACCATTGCGAATGTCCTGAGAATGTTCTGAGGAAAGATTGTAGAAATACTGTTTGCAATACCCAAGAACTTCCTGGGAAATCCATTAGGATATTCCTAGAATATACCTATGAGATTCTCAGTACATCCTGAAAAAATATTCCTGTTTGATTCTAAAAATATGCTTGAAATGTATATTCTTCTGCATCCAACTAAATAAAGCTCCTTTCAGTCCTTTTATATTAAAGGCAGTGAAAGAGTTGTTGGAAAGTTTCTCTGGAAAACACAAGTGTTTAACCAAAGCTTCGGTTTCGAGCGGTAAGCACGCCAACAGGTTCCAAGGTGATTCAAACGCGAGGCAAAATGTAGATCATTAATAGCGCGTGGCTCCCTCTCTTGGAAGACCTACAAAGCAAAAGAAAAAAAATATACCTATAATATTTTTAGTAGGTTCTAGATAGAGCATTATTGTTTAATTGTTCAATTAAGATTTTTGAGTAGGTACTTTAGATAATTAGGTGAACAATATGGAAATATTCTTATCATAGGTACCTACCTACATAAACATCTCAGCACAACTTGGTAGGTATATTCTTGATACTTGATAGAGATATCAGCCGAAAAAACTTTTTTTAGGGTATCTACATTATAATAATGTTCGTATGGCAATATTCAGATATTATATGAAGTAGGTTCTAAGCACAATCTTTCAGGTAGGTGCATAGAAGCAACATTCCTAGTACATAAATGGAACGTCCAAAAATGAATATTTCAATCGAAACAATCTTAGAATATTCATTAAACATTCCTAAAAGAACATTCCAAAAAGCACTTCGAGGGAATATTCTGAGAATATGAATGTTCTTTCACTGTTATGTGGGTTGAGCTCTCTAATAATGGTATCAAATTTAAAAAAATGGTCTTCAAGCCTCTCATTTGTGTTAGTTTTAAGATTCAAGAGTTTTCTCCGACAGGACAATCTTGTAAATGAGCTAGAACGTACAAAAAGATTTTTCAAAGCTTCAATTCGAGCCCTTGCAGTTGTGCAATCCTTAAAATTATATCTAGGTGTTTGTCGGACACACCTTGAACTAAACTGCTGGACAAATAAAGCGGAACAAGCGAATTTTTAGCTGAACTTCAAATTCCAATATTGCGCGAACTTAAAACGATATCAATGAGCGGTTCGCAAAAATTAACTTTTAAATCACGCAAACCACTGATTGAGATCTTCTTGAGTTCGTGTTATAATGGAATCCAAAGTTAAACTAAAAATTTGCTTGTTCCGCTTCATTTGTCCAGCAGTTTATAATTGATTGAGGTTTATAATCCTTTTTTCTCCTATCTTCTTTTTCTTTAATAGAAAGCTTTCTCACTAGGTTCATTGCTTTGTATGGCCTCGTGACAGTTTTCCCTTCTCAGCAGAGTTACCATTCTAAATTCCTACCATTCTAAATTCCCAATTATTGAAATTATTTGCCTCTAACACTGGTACTGTATTATTATTCATTTCAGCCATAGTTCTTCACTATTTAGTCCAGAATTAAACAAAGAATGACTCTGAGCAAAATCGAAAATACACTTACAGTTTGCAGTTATTTTTCACAAACCTTCACTGAGGGCCCATAACCTCTTGAAGTTAATGGACAAATTATACACTGGAAGCGATTTTTAGTAGAAGATATAGGCTGTGTTCTTTTTTCAACTGTCAGCACTGTATTTACTGGGAAGCGTTCCAAAATTAAAATTCAGTGTACTGATTTACTGAAAAAATGACGTATGGCGTCACCAATACGTCACTAATTTATTACTGTGCTTGCTGTATCCGGGAATAAGCTACTGTAATTCAAAAGTGGTCAATGGGGTGGGCGGGCACGCGCCTAGCATCGAAATCAATTTGGCAACGTTGGATCGCAGTCCTATGTTTAGCCGCCAGTCACTAGTCGTGTCAATGTTATCTGTCATTCGACGCTTCCCGCTAATTTTTTAAGATTATAAATTATAATTAATAATAGATAGTTGTTGTTGTCCGGGTTCGGTTTATTTCACAGAGAAGAGGTTTAGATATTGGAAATTTATCCTGCATTGTGTGTGAACGAGCACGAAGGTGCCTAGAGCAGCGTGGAGTCGGGGAATAAGAACAAACAGGGAGAGTTTATCCAAAAAAAGCCAGACAAACTACACAATAAAGGAAAAAGAGCTGATAATAGAGACTTTTTGCACCTCTTATTTTGGCATTCCGTTGTGGTTATCGTTATACTGAGTATGCGCAGTAGCTAAAAAATGTTCGTTGTACTTATCAACCACAACGAGCGGCGTTATTTAAGGAGGAATAACCTTGTGCTTATAGCTATACCTATGGTTATGGTAAAATTGTGTGGATGCTACATTGAAGAAAAATCCCGTTTTTATAAATAGTTAATTAAAATCATCTGAAATTCTGAA